CTGGTTGTATGCAGAGATCTTCATAGTTCAACCCTTTGATCCCTTTATTTTATTCGACATCCTAGATTCGGCTGGTTAGTTTCTTAAGCTCTTCAGCCAAGTTTATGATAGTAGATCCTTTTTATCGGACTCAGGTGTGCAAGATATAGGTTGGGTAGAGAGTGGCATGGTCTCCACGTAGATGGAATTGTTGTGGTGGCCTGGTGTGTGGGTATGGAAATGGTCATTTGTGGAGTTTTGCGGTTCGGGGATGAGTAATGGAATGTTGTTTGGAGTGTGGCAAGTATTGCATTGGTTCTTTGTTAGAGCAGTAGGATGATTTGGTTGCTTTTGTGGAGGTGTGGGATTTTGACCGTTGGGGAAGATTCTGGGATGCTGAGGGAGAAGGATAGGTTGGCCAGATTCCGTACCTGGTCGAGTTCTTCTTGAAACTTCAACAATTTCTACTCAATTTGTGACACATTTTCATTGGGAACCTGAATACCATGGCCATCAGTGGCCTCTGCTGTTATGTTCTCTTTCCTGATGTTCAAATCTTCCATTTTGCCTTTGTTCTTGTTCTTAACAGGACTAAGAGGAGGAGTGGGTGGAGGGCCCCTGGATCTCGTGGAATAAGATGATGTTGCCAGAGTTCACGAACTAACCTTTGGGGAGGGGAATAACAAACAAAAACAAAAATAAAACAAAAAGGTAAACAAGTTAGTGAGGATCATGAAAAGTATTGCAATATTTAAACACGCAGTGCAGGAATGTAAAGCGTGTCCTAATTTGGGAACCTCGTTGTGCCCGAGGTGGGCCTAGAGACAAGTTGATTTGGAGAACTTGGAATGCTAAATGCCTCATTTCATTGAAAAAGATAAGACGAATCCCAAATGGACATTAAATAAACAAGAAATAAAAGTCACTAATGGCCATTGGCCTTGTTACATTTTAAGCAAAGAAGATAAATTCCTATCTACTTGGTCCCAGAAAGACCTTCCCCAGATTCGGCATCCTTGGCTCCTTCGAATAGCTTCTCCAACTCGCGAAGTCCCAGCAACAGTTATGCTCTGGCTAGATATCCGCCTTCAGCCTGTTTAGCCTCTTCACAATCTTCAACCCTTTTGAGAAACTTTCTTTCCAGTTCCACTATGCCTAGCTCCAAGTATCCCAGTCTTTTGTTGGCGTTGGTAGCCATATCTTTCCATTCCTCGATCAACTTTTGGTTGGAGTCTTGTATTTTGCGATGTTCACTTTCGCACTCGCAAATCCTTTTGCGCAACTGGTTGTACTTGACTTGCGCTTTAGCCTTTTCGTCTATAATCCTGCGGCCTCAAACAAACCCTGGCTGGCCCAAACCATCATGATTGTCTTCCAACCAACCTGAATAGAAAGGAGTATAATTGGTGTGGTATCTGTCTGGCTCTATGGTGTCTCTTCCCATCACGATCTTGCTATGCCACATGTGTTGGGCTTGGCACGTGTAAGGACTATCATCGCCTTGGAAGTCAGCTCGAAAGTGGCTCATCTTGTCGACCCTGGGTATGACCTGCTTCCTAACAGCTTGCCTCATAACTCGCAGAGGGACGTAAGGGTAGGTTCCCCTCAGGCCAATTAGTATCAGGAAAGGTGCGTCTCTAGATCGGACGATGAACTCCTCCGTCGAAAACCATTCGAACATCCACTGAACTTGCTCCTCGGTCAGATTATCAAATATCTCAACCCATCCCTTAGCATCCTCTGGCTGGGCGAACATGTCGGGGATGTAATTCATTCGCTTTGGATGGTGGAAAGCCATGTGATCATCCCAGTCCCTACGCTGAATTTCTTGTCGATATTTGCCCTTTTGGAGATACTCTATGAGCCAAAGTTGAAGTAGAAGATTGCAGCTTTCGAAGTGCTTTGCTCCTCGTTGACACTTCTCTAAGGCTCGGTATATGTCTACAATAATCATAGGTACAATACTGAACGCCTTCCCGCCAATCCCCTCCATTAGGGTTTTGGTTACCATAGCCAACCTAGTATGAATTCTACCTTTCTTCATTGGAAATACAATCAGACCCAGGAAGCAAAATATAAAGACGAAACCCTGCGGTGGACGTGTCCCAAAGATGTGATGGCAAACTCGCCAGAGTAGGTGCGGTAAGATTTGCTGTGACCGTACCTTTCGTACAAATAGTCAAAAGGGATGTATCAATCCTTCAAGCATGTCAATTTCGGATTCTTCTTCAACCCCATCATTTTAAGGAAGCCTCTACCTTTGCGATTCTCAGGCATTAGCAAGCTCGGAGTTTCCTATACTAGGCCAGCCAGTCCTCCTATCTCCTCCAGCCTTTGTTTAACTGTCAACCTGTTAAAATCAGCAGGCAAGCCTGATTCAAAAATCTTTTCTGAGTCGTGCAATAAATTTGGTTCTGCTGTTATCACTTAGATACCATGCTTTAGAATTCTGAATTCAGACCTTATCTGTGTATGAGTCATGCTGTTCATGTGCACTGTATGTGGAGGTATATTTGAGCCTTTCGTTTGTCTTCCATGCTCCCTTCAATTGAAGTCCTACTTGTTAATTATATGTCGCCTTAGTGTTTTGCCTTTAAACTTGAGGGTCTTCCTAGAACCTCCTTTTGTAGGATAGGAGTCCTAAATTCCTTCGGGACTGATAGGAAGTGACGGGTAACAACATGCAATAGGGTTCGAGACCAACCCTCGCTTTAGTTACCTTCACGGGGCGGGAAAGGGTATATATGGATATGATGACCGGTGCGTTAATACCACGTGTAGCCCCTCTTTGAGGAGTGTCATACCGGGTATTGCATTGATGTGATCCATATTATAAACAAACCTAGGACACCCCTCTTTACGTTCATAAGCATGCTTAGATTGTAATTCTTTTCGAAATCTTGCTTTTCTGTGTCCTTTTAACACTTTAATATTTAAACTTAAATCCCCTACTATTTGAGCCATACTTGTTTGTTTGCTACTTGTACAAATTCATAAAAATTGTCTGGCCGGGAACCACACTAGTGGATCCTGAGGGGTGCCTAACACCTTCCCCTTAAGATAATTTTAAGCCCTTACCATGTCTCTAGTTAACAAACGTAGTTATAAATAAACCCTATAGGTGCCCTAACGCACCTTAAAATCATTAGGTGGCGACTCCTTTCCCAAAAGGAAAGAGTTGTCCCATACCAAAATGTCATAAACCCGATTTCGCGGAAGGAAAAAGGGGGTGCGACACGTATTCCGACTTTTTTTTTTCATAGTTTGAACTTTTTCATTTAAATAGTAGTAGTACAACCCATAGAAACACTACGACCCCTAGAAATGCCATTAAGGCCCTTAATGGGTAGAGGAAATAATAGGGTTAGGGACTTAGGGTAAAGGAAAGGGTATTATAGAATAAGGGTATATTTGTCTTTTTAGTATATCTTATCGTTTTATCGATAATCGATAACAGAAGAGGACAAAATCAAAATCGAAATCGATAACTCGATAAGGAAAATTTTGAAATTGAAATCAAAATCGATAAATCGATAAACCGATAACAAATAATCGATTCGATTTATTGATAAACCGATTCGAATGCAAACCCCTATTTCCGGCTAAGCTTGGGCTGATTTGGTGTGAGCTTGGGTCATCGGAACTTCTGATTCCGATGGGTGAGATCTGGGTCTCGTTGGTGGACTTCGGTTGAGAGTTTTCTCGAACTAACCTTTGGACTTAGCTTCAGGGGGTGTTTGCTTGTGTATTCATAAACAAGGATAGCTTTTAGGTTTTTACCAATAGTCCCCGAGCGAGGACTTATTCGCACTCGCGTAACCTTTGCGCTTAGTAGTCGAGTGAGCGTTCGCTCGAACTCGAAGTAAGGATAGCCCTAAGGCTTTATGAATAATCCCCAAGTGAGGACTGGATCGAACTCGGGTAGCCCTTGGGCTTAGTAGTCGAGCGAGCGTTCGCTCGAACTCGAAGTAAGGATAGCCCTGAGGCTTTATGAATAGTCCCCGAGCGAGGACTTACTCGCACTCGGGCAGCCTTTGGGCCTAGTAGTCGAGTGAGCGTTCGCTCGAACTCAAAGTAAGGATAGCCCTAAGGCTTTATGAATATTCCTCGAATAAGGACTGGCTCGAACTCGGGTAGCCTTTAGGCTTAGTAGTCGAGAGAGCGTTCGCTCGAACTCGAAGAGCGTAGACCTAAGGCTATATGAATATTGCCTGAGTGAGGACTGGCTTGAACTCGGGTAGCCCTTGGGCCTAGTAATCGAGCGAGCGTTCGCTCGAACTCGAAGTAAGGATAGCCTTGGGGCTTTATGAATAGTCCCCGAATGAGGACTAGCTCGAACTCGGGTAGCCCTTGGGCTTAGTAGTCGAGCGAGCGTTCGCTTGAACTCGAAGTAAAGGTAGCCTTGAGGCTTTTTAGGCTGGCCCTTAGGCTCTTACGTGTTGGCCCTTAAGCGCTTTTCAGATTGGGTCGATGCGACCTCTGATATGGCTATAGTTTTCCCCATTTTGGCTAAAGACTTTTAAGTTTTGATTATGCCTTGGCATGTTTTGTGTTCGTCCAACTCTTCGATGGCTCAAACAAGAACCTCGATTATGAGTCGATATGTGACGATAATTGAGTACCCCGGGAGGTTCTCTTGAAGACTGATTTTTCGAAGCCTTTTTGCTAAAGGCTGATTATCTCGAAGCCTTGTTATTGTTTGGAGCTGATATGATCGAAGCTCTTTTGCATATACCGGGGGTAGCCTGATTAACCGGTTCTTTTCGAAGTATTTTCGAAGTATTTGGAGGCCTTTAATTTTATATCGGCGGTTGGACGTCTCCGAGCTGCGTTAATTTGGCCGGAGCCTTTTGATATGACCGTAGTCTTTATGTTTGGCCGTAGCCTTTAGTCCCCGGGTGAGATGACCTCGGCGTCTATATCGAGGGTACGTCTTTTTAGGGGTCTTACAAGTTCGATATATAGCCTTGGTCTTAATATTGGGGTTACACCTTTTGAAGGTCTTATAAGTTTCGGCATGCCTTGTTGAGGTCTTGCAGATATGGTGTTGCCTCACTGAGGGCTTACGAGCTCGAGGTTGCCTTATTGAGGTCTTACAAATTTGAGTTTTCTTGGCTTTGACAAGCTGACTGTCGATGACAGTCCCCGAATGTTCAAGCATTTCTGGCCCTTGAGCCATTTTGCGTAAAAGTATTGGAGTTCTTCGAGTGTTTTGATAAGCAAAGAGGCTTACTCAATTGTTTGATATATGTTTACATGTTTGCCTTTGGAGGCCCAATTGCTCTACATGGACACGGTTCATTTGGCCATCTGGCCCAATACATCATTCTCCTATCGGGGTCCTCCTAGGCATAGTTTGAATTCTCTGAAGAGGCGACCTTCTGGGGTGATGCCCCCCAATATTTAAGGTACATCGAAGAGAAGCCTTGACTTGATGAGTTCTCCTTGGTAGCATATGTATGTTTCCTCGTCAAAAACCTCGCCGATAAAATGTGTTCGGGATAAAATCCGGTCTAAGGGAAAAAGAGCGCAACGCATGCTTTAAAACCCAAGGTTTTCGAGTCGAAGGGTGTTTCGGCATCTTTCAGCGAACACCTATAAGAAATCGGTGTGAGTCATAAAGCAAAAAAAGCGAGAAGGTCATACCTTTAGCAATAATAGTGTTTGAGCATCGATATGTTCCAATTCCTTGGGAGTTGTTCGCCTTCCAAGGTGCCAAGTTTGTAGGCCCCCTTGCCTACTATTCCGAGGATGCGGTACGGTCCTTCCCAGCTCGGGCCTAGCTTCCCTTCATTTGGGTTTCGAGTGTTGAGGGTGACTTTTCTTAAGACTAAGTCAACGATTATGAAGTGTTGGAGGTTTGTTCTCCTGTTATAATGTCTCTCGATCCTCTGTTTTTGGGCGTCCATTCAGACTAGTGCTGCCTCTCATTTTTTCATCTAGTAGTTCGAGGGCTGTAGTCATGGCCTCGCTGTTCGAATCCTCAATGGCATGCCGAAATCTGGCGCTTGGCTCTCCGACCTCGACCAATATCAGAGCCTCGGACCCGTATACCAAAGAGAATGGTGTCTCCCTAGTGCTTGACTTTGAAGTTGTTCGGTACGCCCATAATACTTCGGGCAATACCTCTCTCCATTTCCCCTTCGCACTTTCTAAACTCCTTTTTCAAGTTTTGAATGATGGTATTGTTTGTGGACTCGGCCTGTTCATTCTCACATGGGTGATAGGGCATTGACAGGATTCTCTTAATCTTATGATCTTCGAGGAATTTTTTCACCTTGCTGCCTATGAACTACTTCCCGTTATCGCATGCAATCACGGAAGGGATCCCGAAGTGGCATATGATGTGATCCCAGATGAAGTCGATGACTTCTTTTTCTCTTATCTTCTCGAAGGCCTGTGCCTCCGCCCATTTCGAGAAATAGTCAGTCATAAATAGAATAAACCTGGCTTTACCTGGTGCCGTTGGTAAGGGGCCGACGATGTCCATTCCCCATTTCATGAATGGCCATGGTGATAAGACTGAATGTAGCTGTTCGCCAGGTTGATGAATCATTGGTGCATACCTTTGGCATTTGTCACATCTTCGAACGAATTCCTTGGTGTCCTTCTCCATGCTGTCCCAATAGTAGCCTGCTCTGATTACTTTTCGAACTAAGGAATCGGCGTCGGAATGATTTCCGCAAGTGCCCTCGTGGATTTCTCGAAGCACATAATTGGTGTCTCCTGGTCCTAATCACACTGCTAGAGGACCGTCAAAAGTCCTTCTATATAGTGTTCCATTCTCGTCGAGTAAAAATCGAGCTGCTTTGGCTCGGAGGGCCCTTGATTCATTTGGATCCGTGGGCAGCTTCCCGCTTTTCAAATAGTCAATATATTTGTTCCTCCAATCCAGTGTTAGACTTGTTGAGTTGATCTTGGCATGGCCTTCCTCGATCACTGATTTGGACAACTGTATAACAGCCCCTAGGAGTATGTCATCTTCTTCAACGGATGACCCCAGGTTCGTGAGTGCATCAACCTCGCTGTTCTGATCTCGGGGAATATGGACCAGGGTCCATTCTTTGAAATGATGCAATATGACATGAAGTTTGTCTAAGTATCTTTGCATCCTGTCTTCTCGAACCTCGAAGCTCCCATTCACTTGGTTAACTACCAGGAGGGAGTCGCATTTTGCTTCGACGACTTCTGCTCCTAGGCTCTTGGCCAGCTCTAGACCTGCAATCATAGCCTCATACTCGGCCTCACTGTTAGTGAATTTCGGAGTTTTTTATAGATTTCCTAATCATGCCGCCCGTAGGTGGTTTCAGAACGATGCTGAGTCCGGACCCTTTTACGTTCGAGGCACCGTCTGTGAATAGGGTCCATACCCCCGATTATGTGCCCGTTTCTAACAAGAGTTCTTTCTCCACCTCGGGCACGAGGGCGGGCGTAAAATCAGCCATGAAGTCTGATCGATGCCAACCCTGTACTACTATGAAGTAGCAACAGAGGTCGAAGCAGCTTTTACCCGAGAAGGTATGGATCGATTTCCACAGGGAACTAGATATTGGTGTTGAGTTTCTATCTAAATTGGAGTTGTGTATTTGTTCCTAATTTCACTTCTAAACATTGTTGGTTTTGATTTTTACTTCTAATTTTACACTACTAGGATGCTAAATTAGACTAAGTAAAGCTAAGATTAAACTATTGCAAGTTGTTCAAATAGATAAAAGGCACTAGGGTAGTGACTTTCTCCTAGGTGGCTAATTGACGGATTCTTGAGTCTAAGGCTAGATTGTCACATTTGGGGAGTGTGATATAACCATTGCACGATTCTACACACTCTCTGCCTCTCGGTAGTTCGAGTGATTTTGCCCGAATTGACTTTCTCGAGACTAATTGGGTATGCAAATTTGTGCAAGCAATTGAGGCTCAAGTCGGGTATTACTATCTCTAGGTTTAACCCTTGAATTGGGGCTATCAATCTCTTGAATACGCCCCAATTCCTTGTTGGATCAATTTCATGGACTTAGCCTCTCTTTCTCAAGAAGAGCCAAAGTCTACTAGGCATAAACTAGTGTTTGCAACCACTAATTCAACATTAAAACCCTAAATTAGTCCAAATATCAAACACCCATAGACAATAAAGCATCAAAACACAAGATCCATCAATTACCCACACTAGGGTTGAGCCACAACCCTAGCTAATGAGTCTAGCTACTCATGATTATAGAAGAAAACAAAGAAATAGATGAAGAAAAGCCCATAATAATTAATTACTAGATAAAACTTGAAGATTCAATGATGAAACTAAACTAAAATTACTCAAAATGGTGAAAGAGAAGAGTTCACGAGTGCAGCTCTATCCCAAAATCTATCTGATGACCTAAAAATGGGAAAAGAAACTATTTATACTAGGCTGAAAATTTTGGATAAAAATACCCCTGTGGGGCTAGTGCGGACCGCACAAAATCGAGTGCGGCCGCACTAAGGATCTTGGCTTGACTAATCTCCTCTCTGAAGTTGGCCACCGCGGACCGCACAAAATGCACCGCGGCCGCGGTGGCTTCTATTGCGGTCCGCACAAAATGGACCGCGGACCGTATTGGGCATAATCCTCTAATTGGAAACTCTGATCTTTGGCTCAGCGGACCGCACGAAATCGAGTGCGGCCGCAATGAAATCAATGCGGTCCGCACAAAATCCTTTGCGGCCGCATTGCCTGGCTGACTGAGAAGCATACTCTCTGATCTTCATCTTTGCAGACCGCACAAAATGGTGTGCGGCCGCACTGGCCCTGTTTGACTGAGCTTGGTCTTGGTCTTGGTACTTGTGCATGTTTTACTCCTTTTTGAACTGGTTTTTGACACATTGTCACCTTGTTGATCAAACCCTGCAATCAAGTACAACTTGTGAGCCTCTGGGACTATTTTGTACACATTTCTAATCAAAACTTAAGCAAGAAGGAGTGTAAAATGCATCATAATCCCTAGTTATCAACTCCCCCAAACTTAAGCTTTTGCTTGTCATCAAGCAAACAAAATAAGACCCACCCTTTAAGAGTCAATCCAAGAAAATTCAGCTGACCTAAAGTGACCTCATCTAGTATCAATTGGGACTAACAATTGCCCTCAATTCAAATGAATCATTAACAACATTCACTCTTTTAATCACCATGGATTTAGTGCGACACAAGAGCATCAAGAGTGACTCAACATATCAAAGAAACTCATTTCTATTTCTTTGGTCATTGTGGAACCCAAACTCACACATCCTCGACTCTCCCTAAGTAAACCTTACCTTTAAGATAGTAGCACTCAGAACGAGGTTAATGGAAATACACTCATCTCTCTCAAGAAAAAGTCACAAGTCCGGCTCTAAGTACCATATGCTTGCCCCTTATGTGAGTCACCATTAATGTATATTTGATTCAACTCTAGATCATATAGGGCTTTTGTGGAGACATAGTGAAGGCTTTTGGTTTAGGGTAGGAAATGTTTGGTCTCAGTAGGTTCCATCTTCCCTTTAGCACTTCTTTTTGCTTCATTTTGGCACGCATTCACTTGAGCTTTTAAGTCATTTCCTTCTTTCTAAGTGGTTAGAGAGACACACTGTCACTCTTTCTTGTTCATTTCAAATCTTTTCTCCTTTCTCAACTTTCCATACCTTTCATTCTTTGCTTTTGTTGAATCCCTTTATTCATTTCTACATTGAACATTCTTTTTGTCTTTTTGCTTTTCTTTCTTTTTCATTGCCTTTCCTTTTCTTCATTTTTGTGCCTTTTTACCACTTGGTTGCCATCCTCGTCTCTCCCCCCAAACTTATACTTTTTCCATGTGCTAAGGAAAGATCGGGTGCCAAGAGAGGGTATCTTTAGAACGGGTAAAGGCTTGTATGGAGGTTCTTGAAGGAAAAAGGTCTAAGGCTCAAAAGGGATGACTAGGGATTTTACCATTGGTAGGCTATGGAAGTGTTCAAGATATTGTTTGGACCAAGGAGAGACTATAATCATGTCTCAAGTCAAATTCCACTTAGGATTTCGCCTAGACAAACATTCAAGGCAAGTTCTAGACTAATGGCTCGGGACTTGGACTTGCAATGCAATTTCTCATCACACAAGCTATGGGTTGCTAAAGACACAGAGTCGGGGGCCCACAACAACCTTAGATAAGATTTGAGCACACAATGGTCCCGAAA